TGCCAAAACCCCAGTTTCAAGCACGTTGCTGCAATCCCTACGTGCAAAATACCCAGGGTCACTCGAGGCGCAGTAACCTTGTTGTTAGTATTCAAGTTTTCAGTTGCATTCACGGTTTTGCATGAACTCCAGCGACTTTTCATTCAGAGCATCCTCAACTTGTGATTGCTACTTTTTCTCGCTCTTTCCAGGACGAGGGTTGGGGATGGTGTGGAAGTACTGTTCTGACACTGCCACAAGGCGCACGTTTTGTCCCCTCATTTCCGACATCCCCGTAGGTTCTGGACGGTGCTTGCGTCAGGTGATTGCTGGCTGGGCCAAGCATCGATGGAGCGCATGTGAATGCAAAGACTGGTGCACGTTCTGCTTCTTCTACTTTGAATGGTTTCGCAGGATTCAAGGAACCGTCGTCGTTGCCATCTTGTGGTTCCCGGCCATGTCTGATTCAGCCGGATTACAATGTACCTGCCGAAAATGACAGCATCAACTACTTGCTTTGCTTCGTTCTGGAGCCTTGCCGCCTCTACCTCGGATATGCCGGTAATTTGGGCGAGAAGGCACGAGTCGGTATGAGCATGTGATTAGCTGTACTGCGCATCTGTACAGGTGCCGGAGCTCTTTCTGTTCGTTTTCCTGTGCATGGGGTGGGATCCCGAAATGTGCGTCCAATTGCTGTCTGTTGCCAGCTGCATCCCCCGGCTCAGATGTGTCGCAATTCTCCTGACAGAGTTAGTCCTTTGTACCTCGGTTGCAAGCAAGCGCCAAGCAGAACTTGAACCTCTGCACTTTGTCCTGGCACAAAGTTTAAAGGCGAGATTCTTGAGTCCCTGCAACCGGCCAACTGCAGCTTTGCCCCTGTGTTGCATTAGTCACACGGCTCAATGCTTGATGATTGGTAGGAAGTGATACAGGCACAGATGCCGAGAAGCACAGATGCTGAGGCTCCGGAATTGCCGTGCATTCTCCCAATGGAGCAGGCAGCAAGGGGAGGGCTCCTAATAAGTCAGCCCGGAGTCAGCGTATGAAGTCTGAAGGCATGCTGGATCGTGCGGCTTGCTCTTTTGGTTTGCGAGCTTGCGCTCGGGATCCGAACTCTGCGCAGGACGGGATGCTAGCTTTCTTCCTTCTGCGCCTTAAGCCTTTTCGCGCTTGAGCCAGGCTGATCCATGACCAGTCTGCCCGTTTCTTCGTTGCCTTGGATTCGCCGGAAGGCCAATGGTCTGTTTAAGTACTTCCTGACGGTCAGTAGTTATGCTCGCCTAGGTCTTAGGCCTGACCCGGTCTCGCGGTGCAGTCTTTGCGAGCGAGCGGCTTCTGCATGATCGAGTAGAATCGCATGGTCTTGACATTCTGAACCGCTATGCTGAGAGATCAAGTTTGTAAGCACAGCAAACCTCCCGTGGGCTTTTCCCAACATGTGATCAGAGTCATGCCAGTTCAGTTCTCTGTGCTTCGGATCCAGCGAGGCCAGTCATTTGATGACCTGAGCAGGCTCGGCACGATACCCCCAGGACTGGACATCGACGAGCTTTTGGAGATACCATGTTGAACAATAAAGGGTAAACTCGAGTGGCCGCCTGCACTGGGCCTAGGAGGGCAAGAAACTGGAGAGGCACGAGAGCAGCGGCCCAAGAAAGACGTGAGTTCGGAAGTTAGCTTTGTGCAGCAGATTGAGAGGCCAAGGCCAAGGCCAGAGCGAGACAGAGGCTCTGGTTCCGCGGCGCTCGTGTGCGCTGCCATGCACCGCTGAGCAGCTTGGAGGCCTTGCAGCTCAAATATATGGGCGGCCTTCTCCTGAATTGAGCAGGCTCGGTCGGTGGGGATGCAAATTGATCGTTTCTTCCAATCTGGTGAAAGGCCACATGCCGATTGATACGCTCTCTGGATCCGGCTCCGCGAGCTCCCTGATCTTTGAGCTTCGTCATACCGAAACTACAAAGCATGTTTCCAAATTAAAGCACCTCGAATTTACAACCAGGCCGTGTTCTGCAGCTTGGGAAAATTGCATATCCGTGTGCGATCGTTCGGTCGGCACTTTGCTGAAGATGCTGAAGTTGGGGCGGGGCCACGGGGCACCTTTGGCAGATTCGAGGCGCTTTCAGCTCAAGCACTGGCCCGAAGAAGCAAAGCATCAAGCAGAGTCTAGCAACAAACCGCGCTCAGCGGGGAACTGACCTATTCGCATCGGTGCAGCTGTACACATCTAGATAACACACAGGTGCCACGTTCATTTCTGAGCTGCGATCTTAGTTGGACAGTTGTAGGTCCATAAAAACATGTGCTGTCATGTGCCTGAGGTGGCCTGCTGAGGTGCGCTGTTGGTAATGCCGTTTGTTCGAGACCACTCGTCGGGCCCTCCGCCTTTGTTGTTGTCGTTGTTGTCCGTTGCGAAGCACCACTTGTGACTGCCACAGACTTACACACATATGCAGATGAGGACGCGGGAGTTACTCCAGCAGGACAGCTACAAGCCACGGCAGGCACAGTGAATACTTTGTGAGATCGTTGATCCACCGGATGTTGCTCGAATGAGTTGTCGTCTGGCAGGAGAGACCACATGCAGGTGGCATTCAAGAAGATGTGGATGAGGAGGAGGAAGCGCAGCGTCCTGGAGGCAAGCAAGATGCGTGGTAAACAAGATGATCAAGATGAGATCAGCCGCTCTTCAGTCGGCAAGGGCATTTGGTAGAGCCTGATCGGCTGTCTTGGCAGATGCACTCCCAACAAACTCGTAGAGCCATGCGGCCAGGCTACATTCCAGTTGCCGGGTTTCGGGCTCAGACCTTTCTTCAGCTTTCCGTTCATGATGCATACCTCATCTTGTTGAAGGCAACCCATGCCGCAGACGCAGAGAAAGCTCCCGCCTTCAGATGTGGTGATGGTTTTCCCTTACAAGGTGCCGGCTTCCCCTTTGCCTTCCACCTGCATGCTGCAAAGCTGCTGCACACGTTTCGCTTTGTTGAATCGATGGAGCTGTGCTTGCCCACTGGCTCTTCAGTAGCAACTAGTTCACCCAAAAAAATTCACTGCAGGCCGTGGCAAAAATGCCTTTCATACACCGTCGACACAGATAGTCCAGTTGAGATTTGGTCGATTGAAGCACTGTAGCACAGAAACGGTGTGTTTCCTGTGCCATGGACCAGGCCCCGCGGCGGCCCGTTTTTCAAAAGTAGAACGAAAGCTTCTGTTGGTGAGCAGAGGCAGAGGTGCAACGAGCTCAGCTCGTCGGACCATTGGCTCCTCTGAGCGAGCTTGAGGTGAGGGTCCAAGGGCCAAGGGTAGTGCGAGGCAATCCATTCAACCCCATTCCCATGTGGATGCAGGCAGAATATGCCGAAAATCCGGCGTTTCTCGCAAAGGCCACTGCACAAAGCCGGTCAGTGATTCAGTGAAAGTGATACCTGCTTCGCTGCGCTGCCAACGAGATATGACCCTGTTTCTCTCGTAGGTGAAGAGCTTGGAAGAAAGGTTCTCCAGCTTTCGTCGGCTCCTTTCCTAACCTTTCCTATGTTATATCAAGAGCGGGTTGATGCGATTTGTGTGCACAAGAGGCAGAACTTCCCCTGACGGCAATTGCTGCTCGGTCGCATTTGTTTGGAAGTGTTGCGAGCAAGCACCGAAGCTGCTTGGAGCTTGAAGCAGTTTGCATTGTGTTCAACTCTCCTGTGCTGGATAATGTTCTGAGGCTTCTACCGAGCCTATCTGTTTGGTATCTTCGAGCAGTTGGTTGGAAACAAGGATGCGTGTTTGAGAAAGATGACAGGGAAGCCGATGCTTTGAGCGGAGTGTCAGGAGCGCCATGCCGCTTTCGCCAGCCACCTGAAGGGGGCATTAGATTTCTGCATTGGAGCAGGTTATGAGAAGGCACCGTCGATGCTTCTAAGCTGGCTCTGACCGACCAGACCATGCTACCTTTGCTATCATGGTAGGTTGCCATCGAAGACTTCTATGAGGAGTTCATGGCAAGCATCGAGCGACTTGGCGATGGCTCTACTGCAGAGGCCTGGCCTGGTCACCCACGGATCGAGTGTGCACGGAGTGGCAGCAAATGCAGGCTGTTATGGAGGACAGCAGTGATGCTCTTGTTTGTTGGACTCGAGTCCTAACGCCGCACATCTGCAGATGGGGAGGGCTGTTTCGTGAAGCTATCGGGCTGCTTTGCCAGTGAGGTCAGCTTCCCTCAAACAGCGAGCAGAGGCGAAAACCGTCGAAACATGAGAGCATGTCGCGGCAAGTTAAACGTTGTGCAGGGGTGATTTCAGGAGCTTGGTGGATTCCTGACATCGCACTCGTCTATCCATCAGTTCTGCGCGCAGGAGGCAGTACTGCAAACAAGAAGAGGGTGCCAGTCTCTTGTGAGGTTGTCGTGGAAGTTTGAATTTATGGAGTGATAGAGAGTGCGAATGAGTGTGAGTGATTGGCGTGGTTTGTTTTGTTCATGTCTGCGTATGCTCTCTATACTTCGAATCAGGATGTTTTCATTGGCTTCGACTTTTCTCCTCAGACAGGTGGATCCAATGAACACCGAAGCGGATCATCTCCAGATAATAGCACTTTCAGCGCATCTGTCAGTGCCTGCCTGCGCCTCAGTCGTGGAAAGGCTTGATCATCCTTTGAGGCACAAGGGATGCAAGAGGCTCTGCTCTTCCTTTTGCTCTGAAATGCACATTGGGGCGGGAGCCCCTGGGCTTTGGCGTGCGAAGCCGTCCGAAAAAGACCCGAGACCCTCGAGACGAGACTGCCCGGGGAGATGGGCCGGGAGCAGTGCAAAATGCAGCAAAAGGCGAGAGACACTGGGAGGGTCTATGGCCCCAGCACAAGACTGTACGTGAACACTTCCCACGCCAATGGCCAGCGCAAAGCCTAGGTCACTGTTGTGTATCTGGACAGATCTGCTGGCGCTGCTGCTGCCGAACATGGGTTTGTCGGCCTCGCATGTGGTGTCTGTCACATGAACGTTTGAAGCAAGAAGTCATGGGTGCAAACTGTCAGGCACATGACACAAGCCTTCCGTTTTCGCCCGTGTACTTGCTCTACCGTCCTGGGCAATGACCTAAGATGAGTTGCTGGTGCATGGGTTTTGGCCATGGAGCGTTGCATCACTCGTGCTGGAGGCATTACGATGTACTGTATCACCATAGTGGGCCAACGCCGTGACGCTTCGGAAAAAGTCCTTGTGCACCGTGCCGAACGAAGCTGATGAGACTCTGAAGCTGCCTCGGAACCGGAAGCCCGCAGACCAACGCGCATCTTCGTTGGGGCGATGCGGCGGCAGAAGAGGTATGAGAATGCAAAGTGAGCACTAACTCAAAGGGTTGGTTGATCGGGACGTGATTAGATATGTGGCCAGGAAGCTCGCGGGCTACGACAGCCGACAGAGGATCAGATTCGTCAGATGGAATCCTGGAAGGCACGCAGCCAATTAAGCCTCGGATGTTACAGCTTACATGAATCGTGCTACGGTCGGAAGGCCAAGCGCAATACAGTGATCCATACGTTGAGCGACACAGGGCTGGTAACGCACTGAGACTGCAGATGCCAAGGAATAGCAGCAAGCCTGGGTTGTCTGGGATGTAGCCAGACAAGTCTAGGTCTTGATGCTTTACTATTCGCGAGACCGCGACGAAATCTTCGCCTGCTGCCAATTTGTTTTGTCTGCTTGGATGGGCTGGGCATGTCGGTGCCGATAAGGTTCGAATAGCTGCTGATCCACAGCATCTTCGGCAGGTCGCTGCTTCAGAGTTCGCAGTCCTTTGGACCCCTCCTGTCTTCAGGTTGCAGAGATGATTCGGTATCAACTGGAGTTGAAGCCGCACGAAGCCATGTGTTGGAGAAGTGTGGCAAAGCACATGCGGTTCCCGATAGCTGGTCGCTAAGTCTCAAGGCAGTACTTGTCGGCATTTGCGGATTACAAAAACGACTACGCAGGTTCAAGCCTTACAGATGGACTCTGCCACCACAATTCGAGAGACAGCGCGTCTTCCGAAGCGAAGCGCAACATCATGTTAAATCCGCTTGCTGCTAGGCAGACGTGACATGAATTATCGTGACCGCTGCGTTGCACAGATCTCAGCTATCGGGACCTACGGGAGTGTTATTCTTGTTCGTGCATGTTTCTGTTTGCAGGTTTCGCACTTGTACGAGACGCATGCCGACAAGGAGAAGGAAGGAGACTACCCGCAAAAAGGCACGAAGACTAGACAAGATGACAAATGGTGACACAGGTTTGTCAGCAGCCAAAAGCATTTTGCTAAGATGCAATCTTCCGCACGGTGGACCGGCTCCGTCTCATCGATCACATCGCGACTGACTTGGATACAAGCTGGCACATCAGTATATCTGCCAGATCCGTATTGTGCAGTGAGGTGCGCAGCGGTGATCGAAGCTGTGCTGGCATTGACGTTGGGCAGCTGTTGCACGAGCCGCTGCCTTTGCTGTTTGTATGGAAAAGTCTCAGACGGAACAACGAGCTTTCCCAGCGGCACTGTGTCTAAGTGGCGACCTGATCCATTACTTCCCTCTGCACGAGCAAGGCCGACAGTCGCGTCACATGTAGACTAGGTCTCCAATGCCTTCTCCGCTTCTGCAGGAAAGCTGCAGGACATGGACAAAGATTGGTTCAAGACCTTCGTCATCGGACGCAACATCTACAAGGCAGTTGCGATGCTCAAGCCACAAGTCTTGCAGCAACTCAGCGGCTCGAGGTCAGAGACTATTTCGGTGAGCGCATCGCGCTGTACTTCCTTTTCATGTGGTCTCCTTAGCGGCTGACTCGCCACTGTGACACTGGCAGCGACATGCAGCTTTAATTGCGAGGTCTCACTTCATCAAATGGATGGTGATACCGACTTTAGTCGGCTGCTTCTGCTGTGTCCCAGCCTTAATAGCTTCATTCCAAAAGGACACCGTTCTGTGTGTTTCACATCGGCGCCAAGCCAGTCTTCTCAGCGTACAGCAGACGGCACATGAAGGTGCACATGGTTTCTTCTCGGTCGAGTTTGTCTTACCCGCGTTGATTCCAAGAGACCTTACTCTAGCTTTCTTTCATGTCTGTGATAGGCGTAAACCTGACAGTGCATGTGGTGTGAGGACAGCGCCAGCCAAAGTGGAGTAGAGGCGAAAAATAAGAAGTTGCCTCGCAGAGAAACGTGGCTGCCTTTCCACGGGTCATGTGGGCCACTCCAGACATCGGATCAGGCATTGTAGCGAGTTTTATCTCCACTCCTCGTCGTTTCTCTCACATCGTATCAGACCATGTCAGTGTGGGCAGATATCAAGTTCCGTGCAGCCATTCCGTTTCCAGAGGATTGCAGGACAACTATGGATCCAGGGTTTGTTTCTTGCAGGCTTCTCGATAGCGGATGGAAGAACCAAGATGGTTGCATCTTCAAGCTGGGAGGGGCTGGGGCGGACGAATCGACTAATCACGGGCGCAAGGGAGACCCGAAGAACACACACTGCCGCTTCGCCACGGGACCGCGGCCGCACCTTGTTGAGCGCTGTGTTTTCAGGTGCTCGACCTGTTCATGGGGACGCCCAACAACTGGACGGCGATGTTCCTTTGCATCGGCACCGGCCTAAAAGAGCTCCTTCTCTGTGCAACCATGACATAAATCATAAAACCCTTTTTGCTTCTTCCGGCGAGGCGTCGGACTCTTCTCAACGACCTTCACACACTTCTGGCGAAGAAAGTCCAATCTCTATGCTCTGAAGCGCTAGTCTCAGTCTTCGCTCAAGTCGTGCATAGATCACCGTTTGCAATCTCGAGGTGGGGGACGTTTTCCATGAAAAAGAAGCCTGAACCAACCAGACCAGAGTTCTATGGCGTCGGAATCCTATCCAACTCTGGATGTTTACTTAGCTGCATCCATGTCGATTCGACGCTGTGAGGTCAGCCGTATCAACCCCATCACCAGCAGGGTTGACAGGCATTCCTGCTTCGCAGGAAGGTTTCGTTGCCTTACCGTCGTGACACCGCGAGGTTCTACCCTTGGAGCGAACGGATATGGAAAGTCCTTTTCAGCTATTCTGTCATTACGGAGCCTTGGCTATGTTGATGGTGTCTGTGGCACTGTTGATGTGCTGATTACACAAGCGGGAGAGTTGGCTAGTGTACTCGACGTACTGTAGCATAGCAGAATCATGCTTCCACATAAACGAGCACAGATGGATTATCGGCTACGATTAGCACTTTTCACGTTTGTTGGAGCCAGCCTGGCCAAGAGGCACGATGTGAAGGCCTTACTTAGCGCGCCGCAACGGAAGTACAGGTGTCCCTCATCGCCCTCTTTTTCGTGGTCGGCATTCTCATGGTGCTCCGCCACATTTTCCACAAGAATAATGGACGAATCACTTTCCAGGCTGGTTTGGGAAGTCACTTGCTTTTCTACCTGATGATGGACTGTTCTGAGGTCATCAACGCACTGATCGTGGAGTTGTTGAATACCCTCTTCACAAGCCTTGCAAACTGGCTCACGGACGCTTTGCAATTGATCTTGCAGTCGTTTGTAGCATCTGCTTTGAGGGCCATCGCACCCTCCGTTTCCTGGACGTCACCTCCCCCGTCTTTTGATGTCACGACCACAGCGGCCGGTAGGGTCCACGCACACTTTCCGCGCTTGAGAATGTATTTCACGACGGAGCTCGGTACAAGACATGGGGGAACCTCTTGGGAACCTCTAGACTCTAGACTCTAGGTTCCATTGCTTTTCCGGCTGCCTGAAGCCACGGAAGCTTCAGAATTCAAGCACCTTCTGAACTCTACAACGTCCCAAGCCACTGCTGCTCTCCGAGGAGGCTCCCTACTCCTATTTTGACTAAGGAGATCAAGCCGTGACCATGGCAACAGCCTAAGTCCGAAGCACTTGCCGCAACAACTTCCAATTTCCTTCTACGCCTCGAGTTTGTGTCCACGTGCCGACTGCATGAGCTCATAGTTCAAGGGATTCAAGTTACTCGCAAGCTCAAGTGGGCAGGGCAACTGCACAGCAAGGTACTGCTTGCCAGGGCCGCTCACGGAAACTTTTTGAGACCTCCGTGAGAGCGGTGCGAAAACCGGGCCTGGCACAAGCCCGCTACGTTGGGACAAACTCGGTTAATTATGTTGCTGTAACGCATTGGCACTTGCACTGGGGTGAGATCGGCAAACATCCACTCGGCACAAGGTTTCTTGCTATTGAATGGTGCACTTGATGCCTTAGTACGGGCGGAGTCTCGCCCCTATCGCTCCACTCTGTTTCCTGCGCTGTGGGTGCGGGTTTAGACTGTATGCGCCTCGTCTTCATGGGTTGTTGAATTCTTTGTGCTGATGCGATGTTTGTCGCAGGCGCTGGCTTCATGCAAGATCACTCTTTTTTTCTGCTTCTCCGTGAACCCAGAAGTACAAGAACACACCTCCGGGTGTGACACGTTTCAGGCATGGAGATCACGACAGGTGTTCTTGCATAGCATGGTGAGCTACATGTTGGCCTCGCTGTCAGAGTCGCGATCATGCGAGATGTTCCGGACATCGTGCAGGACAGGGAGAATCATCGCTCCTACTCAGAACATGCGAACCACCTGTTGGCATCGCACCCATTCGTGAGAAATTGTTTTGTACGCGACCTGGACCTGAGTGATTTGTCTGTTTGCTGAAGGCCAAGATGGTGGTTTTCAAGTTCATCAACTGCTACGTGTCGCTGTACTATATTGCCTTCTTGAAGGACATGTTGATGTCCGACAGCACATGGTTCACGAGCCGAGTGCATGACTGTTGGAAGCAACAGGAACATTCGTATCTTTTTGGGATGCCAATGACGTGTGTCAACGACGATTGTCTGGTTCTGAATTGACAGAGAAGGCTGTGTGTGAAAGCTAAGATGCAGCGTTGCTTCTCCCAAATCTGCCGTGCCAGCTCAGGTCTCAATGACTTGGGCTCACAGCTTGCAATTTTCATGATCATGAGGCACCAGGGAGTGCAGCAGAAACTCGCACTCATTGGGGTTGCAGCTTTGCATGTTGTAGCCCTTTATTGATAAGACATGTTCTTTGGCATTCGTGCGTATAGATTCACACAGCACTGGGCTTGGACAAGAGAGAGATGTCTGGTCGGCGCAGCCATCCCTATTTTTTCGACACAGCAGATGCCCATTGCTAGGGTGTGGACTGAAGCCCTTGCTGTCTACTGCAGTGCCCAGCAGGCTGACCGTGCAAAACATGATCGAACTTGGCGCTCCGTCAACTTCTGAGACGACTCCTGTACAGCGTTGCTAGTACCTAGCCGTTGCTGTCTTAGGTATGCAGTCATGTACTACAGGGAGTACACAGAAGGCGGCTGCTGACAGAATGTAGCCGTGGTTAGCCCATGGAAGCGCATTGATTTGCATGGGATGGCTATTGAGCAGATGTGTGGACCAGCGACAACCTGCGAGCAGGAAACACCTTCAAGACCTCCCTCTTCACGCTTTTCTGGCTGGTTTAACTGTATTCGGACGTCTAGGTACTTCTTTCGCCTGTCCCACCCGGTTGGATCGGTCAGGAATCCGATGACAATCATGCTTGCCTCTGAGCCTTGTTTATGGTTCTAGTTTCTTTGGGGCTTGTAGCTTTGCCAAGGCCAGATCTATCCAGTCCAGAAAAACAGAGCAAAAAGGAGGTCGGCACGCTGTCTGGATAATCTCAAGTCTCTGATTTTTCCCGGCTGTTCTGCCAACGAGCTGCAGGATTACGATGTGTACCAGGACATGGATGAGGCATCTCGGCAAGTGCACCGTCCTTAAGACCAGCAGATGTGCCTTCTCAGGTGTTGATCCTCTACGGCTACACCGTGCTCTTTGTCGTCGCTTGTCCGTGGGTACGCCTTCTTCATTCGGTCGTCTTCCTGCGGGCTGCTATTGCCTAACTCAGCTCATTGAGACGGTCGTGCCAGATTCCCCTGATCACAATGATCAGCCTTGTTCTGGAGTTCGATGCCCAGCTTTTCTCGGCTTAGTTGTTCTTGCCTTGTACAAGGAAGCAAAGAACACCTTTAAAACCCAGCACCGACAGACATGAAGTCGGACACGCCGACAGCAGTCAGCACACATAGCCGATCTTAGCCGATCATCATGCAGAGAGCCGGAGAGGGAGACTCACTTGAAGATGGCGAGCGGAAGAAAGTCTTGCGTAGAAAGGCTGAGGGAGCCCTGCTGCCTTTTTAGCCCGAAGGGGCTGCACGCATGTGGTCGTAAATTGCTCCAAGGTTCAGGCCTCGCGTGTGATGGCACCAGCTTGTGACTGTAGGTGCTTCATGGATCAGAAGAAGCTGGTACTTCTTTTCCGCAGGCATCATGGCCCGCCGTTGGCTGGTGCAAAGTGACTCCCAGCTTTGCAGGCCTTTCCCATCACCAGCTTCCAACAACGAGCCCTGGGACACTGCTTTCGATGTATTCGGCATGTTTCGGGCTTAGTATCACTGACTCTGCTGCACCGCTTGCTCGTGTTCGCAGACGAGGATTGCAATGGCTACGAACACCGCCGTTGTCGTGTTTGCGTCGAACGTCTTCGCCAGCTGGAGACTTGCGCTAGTCAGTAGTCGTACTGACCGGTCATGCTTCTGGCAGTGTTGACAGATGCTCATGCTCAGATAGCAGGAAGCCTTTGCTTGAGCAAGGTGATGCCAGCATTCTGTAGAAGCAGCTCAAATATGTGGTCACAAGAAGGATTCAGAAACATAGACCCCTTCTTCTTGTATTAGTTTTGTCGTCATCAAGCCTGCGTTTGTCTCTCCGTGTGTGTGTGTGTGCATGCACGCATTTGTGGAGCCTGCATGCAGTTCGAGTTCGAAACAACACAGCTTCTTCAGCTGCAAACCACGAGCACAAAGGCACCGTGATTCAGCACCTCCATCACTTACAACTGACAGCAGGAAGAGAACATCTGAGCACACGACATCAGCAGGGCTGTGCCTGCTGCAAGAGCTGCGCGCTACGAGAGCAGAATCCAAAGTTCGAATGTAAGTGTAGGCTTCAACTCGCCAAGACAAGGACCCAAAAGTGAGTTGCAGTGCAGCATGTGGGACATAAGAACACAAATCAGCAGCACTCGGCGGCATAACTCTGAGAGAACTGTAATGTAAGCTTACCAGTCGATGATGCGGCTGAAGCAAGTAATCTGCTTATTCCATGCAACCACCTTTGGAGCATTCAGACATGGCTGGCAATCTTGAACTCGTGCTGCCGGTTTCCCCGTTGTCACTGCAAGTGCTTTGCCAACACAGATTAGGCCGCTCAAGTTTCCTGCAACGTCCGCAGGTTTGGCCTTGAAGAGATTCGTAAATCCTGAATCCATGACTGCATTTTGTCTGCTGTTGCGTTTTCGTCTTCGGGTTTTTCTTCAGTCCGACTATGGTATGTTCTCCGTCGCGCATACACACTCGTAATGAATCATTTCGAGCATGGGACCGCGTTCATCACTGTTCTTTCATTGCCTGATCTGTCATCAGAATCATCAGATACCTCGTGTGAGGAGTCACCACCACAAGATCCTGCTGTTTCTGGTCGTGGAGCACTGCATGATTGCATTCAGGCCTCACCATTGCGCACTGATTTCATGCAAACCATGGTGGCTACATTCCTTTTCGGAACCAACCCTAGACTCTTTCAGGATACTCATGTCCACGCTTTTCCCGGCTGTTCCCTGGGAGGCTTGTGAGACTTTCCGAATTTTTCCCGATGGGACAATGAGCTTTCAGTGGATGCAGGTGCGGATGCTGGCCATGCAGCAGCAGGTCATGGTCCACAGGCTCTGTTCGCCATGGAAGTAGCCAGCTACACAGCTCAAGAACATTGCTCACTGTTTGGAGATCAGGCACTTGAATCTTGGTGGGGAAGAGGATGACCACGAAACACGAGCGAGCGCTGCGGGCTTATGCAGGTGAATGACGGAACATGTGATCGACACAGAACGTTGAGCTGCTAAAAACCAGAGTCCTCAGCCAACTAGAATGCTGTGGCGGTGTGTCGCTTGTTTGCTCTTACGTCTGCAGGCAAGTGAACTGTGGAAGCCTATGTTTTTGAAAGTTATCACACCGCCATTCGCCACACAAGGCGATGATGGCAACCGCACAGCCTCCTCCGCTTGTACATGATGCTGATGAGGAGGAGGACAGCTGACCTAGCCTGTCAGAGTGCCGTCTGGATCGAAAGTCAGAGTTGTGGGTGCTGCAGTACTGGTACACCTGACTTTTTGCAGCGCGCTGGGAGCCCAGCTTGGCAAGTTTGTTCAGAGCCCAAGCCTGGCTCATCTGGCCTGGGGCAAGGCTGACATCTGATGCAAAACAGCAGATACGGATGTTGGGGCATTTCACCTTGAACTCTTCACTGAGAGATTCTTTTGAAGCTTCTCACTTGCACGCCATGGCTAAGTCCAAATTCGCTCATCGAAGTCGGGATCCTGTGTTGTTGCTCCACATAGCTGTAGCTTTACTAGGTCACTGTATCTGTGCAGGCGACGTTGTGCATCACGTCGGATCTGTGCTGAAGGAATGAAGGTACCGTGTTCGGTGAAGCACTGGAAAGATCCCATTCCTAGCCCGAAGTGCCTGAAAACTATGTGCACATCAAGCTGCGATTTGTGTCGGATTGCCATGTAGTTGTGATGAACTCTCGCAGCCTGCATTTCGGGCATTTTCACCAATTCCGAGTGTGCTAGGTTTCCAAAGAGGGATCAGCGCAACATGCCACGAAAATTATCAGCGGACGAGTCAGCAGTTGCCGACATTGGCTGCAGTGAATGGCTCAACTGAGATTAGCTTGCCGCAGCAGTTGCTCCGGAAAGGCCCACAGACAGACACGACAAAAAAGGCCTTCCAAATAACGATTGGCATCGATCCATGTCGGTCTCGGAGGGTAGGGACTCTGCTACTTTACGAGGAAGTTTCTAGCCAGGGCTCCGCCTGACCGAGCCAAGGGTATCATCTGAATGGAGGGTGATTCCGTCGAGCCCCCTGGTGCCGTCGCGAGCCGGGCCCTACTGAAGAGCTTATGGCGATCGTGATGACCATCTGAAGCCCAGGTTTGAAGCCATGTCCACCAAGACGTCGACGCTTCTCTGAGGAGCGGCCCAACATGAGGATGTAAGTGGAAACACTTCTTTATTCGCTAAGGTCGCTGAAGAAGCCTCCTCCGAAACAACAGTGTCGAGCAATAGAATGCACACCGCTGCCGCTTTTCGCGATCTCCAAGAAGCCCTCCTGCCCTCGTGTCTACAAGACAGTGAAGAAAATCTAGCCGGACAGGAGTACGGAGAGGAGTGATTCTATCTGATCCCTACTGCAGTTTGTAGAGGTCACTTCCCTCGCTACGGGCTATCTCGTCCCTGTCTCTTTGCAGGTTCCGCGGTCTTACTTTGCGAGTCGTAAAACCAATGCGAAATCGGTAGCCCTGCAAGTCCCCAGAACGTGGAAAATGGTTCTGGCAAGACACCTTCCTCGAATGATTTTACAAGCCCAAAAGCCTTTTCAGAGATTTTGCGAGCTCCGGTGGAAAGACCAAGGGACTAGAGATGGGACCAAAAGAAAGATTCAACCGCGGCACCTCGTTTGGAGACCGAAGTTTGCAGCGATTTCGGTTTCAACGAAGCGGCTCACTCAGCAGAACAGCGACACCAAAACAACAGCAAAAAGGCAAACACCACAACAAAACACAGCAGAAGCAGTGAAGGCAGAGAAAAAGCGGAAACCAAAAAGCAAAAAGCGGCAGAGGTCAGGAAAGGGCGGCAAGCAAGAAGCGGAAATCCAAAACCACAGACGAAACTCAGCTGCAAAAAGCGGTAAGCAAAAAGCAAACAAAAGTTAAGGCAAAAAAGGAAAGCAGAACACTAGCGAAAGCAAACCAAACAAGACTCAACAACCCCCGCCCATACTTCAAGCCTACGCAGAAGCAGCCAGCGGCTTTCTGCAGAGTGCAGTCGCAGAAGCATGCATGTCACTCGGTAAATCTCATGTCTCCTTCGGATCTGACAGAAAACAACCGACACCACGAACGGTTCGGAGGTGTAAGGACGGCGCAGGGTATGGAAGAGCGAATGGAAGGGGGGGTGCGAGGGCGAAAGGGCGAAAGTCTAAGAACAAAGCGAGAAGATGAGACGACAACAACCGGCCATGATGTTAGACAACACGGAATATATGCCTGCAGTCAAAATCGTGACAGATGCACAAGTACCCGTTTGCAACAGTGTTCAATCATGTTCTGCTTCTTGGTCGTTCGACGCTCTCACTCCCGTCTAAGTTGTTTCACGAGTTTCAGAGCAAGACACAGTAGCGAAACGTGCAGAATGTTGGGTCTAGTCTGGGTCTTGTGTATAATGTCGGTGCTGCAGAGATAGCGCCAGGGTCGAATGGAGGGGCCACCCCGGCCCTTCCTTCGTTTCTCTCACTGCAAGCAGACATTGGCAGCCAAAGCGACCGTTCTGCTGTACTTGCTTTCCCCTTGGGGCCTTGAGCGCAAATACCATCGGATATGCAAATGCTATTTACCAATCGGGTGCGCTTTGCTTTGTCATCCGATGTGCGTCGGGAAGAGGACCCTTCCCCAATTCTCGCTGAAGCCGAGCCGATGCAAGCCAAGCCAATCCACGCAAACTAAGCCGGAACGAATCTTCACAGGCCTTCAACCCCTCTCCAACGCAAACTGCACCTGCATGATGCCGTTGGTTGCGCAGATGTGATCGGAGATCACAGTGATGTAAGATAACAATCTCGCCCACGACGGGGCCAACAGGCATTGAATGATTCCAGATGTTCCAAAGATGGAGCCCAAACCACCGAGAGGAAGTTAGCCCGAGCTCGCAACAAAGCTGTGCCCATATTTACAGAATCAGAAACTTAAACTTGCACGGTCCATCGATCACGATTCGAAACCCGTGCGGCGCTTACGCTGCCGGTCCACCACAAACCCGACAGTGTCCGGACCGGTTTTCGCGACTCGCACCAGCATGGTACCTGTAAGGCCCGAACCGAGGGCACAGTTTCGATGTCGACGACGGAATGTGTGCAACCATGCGAGACCGTGATTTGGTAGCCACTGCTGGGCCAAAATAATGCTGCTTGTAACGGTTTGGACACTTCTTGATTCTGTGCTTGATACTTCTGAAGTTCGCGCGGCGGTTACTAGGTTACTAGAGGGACCGCTCGGAACGTTCGGGAGGGTCATCACACGTATTATTTTTAGAGGCCATCGGAGAAGTTTGCCTGGATGTGATGGGATTACTTCGCAGCCCCAGACGTTTTCCAACCACAAGTTGTTGCCAGAGGCATGCCGGGAGTGCACGACCGAGCGCTCCAGTTGCTATGCTTTTCTCTTGGGTTGACACATTATTCAGTCTTGCTGCAATGGTTGGTAGACACAGCTTTCTGCAGTGCTCCGAGGGTATTGCCAGCGGCTGTTTTGTTTAAAGCTTTAACATTCCTGTACAGATTGTAATCTCTTTCTCGCTGCTGGCAAACGTATATCTAGTGCGCGTCCGGGCCGTTCGAAAAGGCAATTAGCAGCCTGCACAGCCGAGAGCATTGATTGCTGCACCAAGGTGAACCGAGTGAACGAAATTCTTGATTGTCGATATCCCTTTGCTTCGCCCGGCTTGGCTCGGCTGGGTTGGTTTGGGCCGAGGTATGGGGTTGGGGGTGGAGTGTGGCTTGTTTTGGCTTCGTTTCGCTGGGCTTGGCTTGCTTGCCTCAGTTGGGCGCGGTTTGCGAGCGAACTGGCAGTCGACATCTCGTTTTGGGGTTGAGAGTTTCATAGGCAGCTGGCATCTACTTTCAGGGTTTAGTGCATGGCTTGCCAACCTTCTAATTAGTCTTCAACAGCAACCTCTCCGATTAAGGATTCGATTTGGCAACCAATGTCCTTTGTGGAGTTTAGGATTTTGCAACCCACATTTCCTTTCCTGGTCCATGGGCTTGGCAAATCTTGGCCACCAAAATCACCTTTGAAGGGTTCAGGGGTTGGCAAACAAGGTTTTTTTGTCCAGGGTTTAAGGTTTGCTGCATCCTATTCTTTTAGGGTTAAGGATAACCAACCAACATTGTTTTTCGGGGCTAGGGCTTGGCGCAAATGTTTCTTTAAAAGATGTTAGGATTCGTCTTAGGGTTTGGCAACCGACATCTCCATTTGGGGCTTAGGATTTTGCAACCAATATCTCAGATCTCCTTTTGGGGTTCAGGGTTTTGCAACGAAATTATTGAATTCTCCACTTGGGGTTTACGGCTTGGCAGCCAACATCTGCTTTCATGGCGTAACATTTGGCAACCAACAGCTTCCCAACTCTTCTAGGACTTGCTGCTTGGCAACCAACCTTTCCGTTTAGGATTTAGGGTTTAGGGTTCGCCAGCCAGCATTTACATTTAACGTCAAAAATAACCAACCAACATCATTTTCAGGGTCTTCGGGTTCGTCTTAGGGGTTTGACGACCGACATTTCCGTTTGGGGTTTCGGGTTTGCAACCAATATCTCCTTCTAGGGATTGGGGTTTGGCAACCAAATTTCCATTTAGGGTTTACTTTTTGGAAACCAACATCTGCTTTGAATTCTAGGATTTGGTAACTGACAACTTGTTCTAGGATTCGCTGTTTGGCTACCAACATGTCCACTGGGGTTTAGGTTTTGTCACCCAGCATTTGTTTTTGAGGTTTAGGCTTAAGCAACCAAAATGCTTCCGTTTGCGGTTTACCGTTCGGCAACCAACGTGTCCGTTTGGGGGTTTCAATTTTGGCAATCAAATGTTTTCAGGGATAAAAGTTTTGCAACCAACCCGATCCTTTGCGTCATCTCCTTTTGGTGCCAAGGGTCTGGCAATTAACGTCTCCTGTTATGGTTTGGAGTTTAAAGTTTGGCATCCAACTTCCCATTGGGGTTTAGGGTTTGCCAACCAACACTGTCTTTTGGGGGGTTTAAAGGGTTTTGCTCGGCTCGGCTTGGTTTGGCTTGGTTCGATTTGAGTTGAGGTATGGGATTGGGGGGAGCGTGGCTGCGGGCGAGCTGGCAGTCGACATCTCGTTTTAGGGTTGAGAGTTTCATAGGCAGCTGGCATCTACTTTCAGGGTTTAGTGCATAGCTTGCCAACCTTCTAATTAGTCTTCAACAGCAACCTCTCCGATTAAGGATTCGATTTGGCAACCAATGTCCTTTGTGGAGTTTAGGATTTTGCAACCCACATTTCCTTTCCTGGTTCATGGGCTTGGCAAGTCTTGGCCACCAAAATCACCTTTGAAGGGTTCAAGGTTTGGCAACCAGCACCTTTAGGGTTCAAGGGTTTTCAAACAAGTTTTTTTGTCCAAGGTTTAGGGTTTGCTGACCATCCTATTCTTTTAGGGTTAAGGATAACCAACCAACATCGTTTTTCAGGGCTAGGGCTTGGCAGCAAATGTTTCTTTAAAATATGTTAGGATTCGTCTTAGGGTTTGGCAACCGACATCTCCGTTTGGGGCTTAGGATTTTGCAACCAATATCTCAGATCTCCTTTTGGGGTTCAGGGTTTTGCAACGAAATTTTTGAATTCTTCATTTTGGGTTTACGGCTTGGCAGCCAACATCTGCTTTCATGGCGTAACATTTGGCAACCAACAGCTTCCCAATTCTTCTAGGACTTGCTGCTTGGCAACCAACCTTTCCGTTTAGGATTTAGGGTTTAGGGTTCGCCAGCCAGCATCTACATTTAACGTCAAGGATAACCAACCAACATCGTTTTGTTAGGTTGAGGTTTGGTAGCTTGTGTTTCTTTTCAGGGTTTTAGGGTTCGTCTTAGGGGTTTGACGACCGACATTTCCGTTTGGGGTTTCGGGTTTGCAACCAATATCTCCTTCTAGGGATTGGGGTTTGGCAATCAAATTTCCATTTTGGGTTTTACTGTTTGGAAACCAACATCTGCTTTGAGTTCTAGGATTTGGTAATTGATAACTTGTTCTAGGATTCGCTGTTTGGCTACCAACATGTCCGCTGGGCGTTTAGGCTTGTCACCCAGCATTTGTTTTTGAGGTTTAGGGTTAGGCAACCAACATGTCCGCTTGCATCATTTTGCAAGCAACGCTTCCGTTTGCGGTTTACCGTTCGGCAACCAACGTGTCCGTTTGGGACTTACATTTTTGGCAACCAAATGTTTTCAGGGGTAAAGGTTTTGCAACCAACCCGTTCCTTTGCGTCATCTCCTTTTGGTGAAAAGGGTTTGGCAGCTATCGTTTCCCGTTATGGTTTGGAGTTTAGAGTTTGGCATCCAACTTCCCATTCGGGTGTAGGGTTTGCAAACCAGCATTCTTTTTTTCTGCTTTAGGGTTTAGGGAGCTTCGCTCGGCTCTTTAAGGTTAGGTTAAGTTTAACCAACCAATCTTCCTTTTTAGCATTTAGGGTTTGGCCGCCCGTATTTTCAGAGTTTATTTAGGGTTTGGCAACCGACACCTCCGAACCGATATTTCGTTTTATTTTTTTGATTTTAGGGTTTGGCAACCAAATCTGCATCTACGGTCATCTGCCCCTCTGGTTTAGCACTCAGCAACCAGCAAGTGCTAACAAAAAAATGTCTGACAACCAACTGTTCCGCTTAGGGTTTAGGCTTTGCCAACCGGCATTTCCGTTTAGGTTTTACGGTTTGGCAACCCACATCTCCTTTAAGGGTTGGGGTTTGGCACCAACATCTCCGTTCAAGGTTGGCAACCAACATTTTTTTTACAAACTTAAGGTTTTGGCAACCAAAGTTTCTTTTGGGGGTTACGTTATGGCAATGAATATATATATATATATATTCTTTTAAGTGTGCAAGCAGCATCTCTGTTTGCGCGTCAAAGGTTTGCCAACCAACGTCTCTTGCTATGGTTTAAGGTTTGGCAGCCAACGTTTCTGTTAGGGGTTAGGGTTTGCCTACCAACATACTCTTCAAGGGTTCGCCAGCCAAGATGTTGTTGAGGGTTTAGGGATGTTTCGGGTCTGGCAGGAAATGTTTGTTTAGGATTCAGGGTTTGGCAACCTATGTCTTAATTTAGGGTTTTGCGGATTGGCAACAACCAACATCTCTGTTTGGTGTATAGGGCTTGCAACCAGCATGTCCGTTTAAAGCTCGGGAACCAGCACCTGCTTTCAGGGTTTAGGGTGTGGCAGCGATATTGCCGTTTAGGGTTTAAGGCTTGGGTTGTGGCAACCAAGCTCCATTTAGGGTTTGAGTTTGGCGAACGGCATCTCCGATTGGGGTTTAGAAGGTTTGGCGATCAGGGCTTTTATCGGGTTTGGCAAACCAGTGTCTCCCTTTGAAGGGTTCAGGGTCTCGCAACCAGGGGTTTTTGTTTGCGATTAAAATCTCCATTGTGTTTCGGGTTTTGCAAGCAACATTTCCGTTTTCGGGTTTAGGCAAAAGCTTTGGTTGAGGCGTGGCGTTGAAGAGCTGTCTGGCTGGCGGTCTGGCGGCCCATCATCATCTTCATCGTCGTCGTCATCATCATCATCATCAGCCACCAGAGGTTCCTCTTCCACCGAGTAGATGGCTCCCATCTCCATCTTCACTGCCTGGCGCACCCTAGCATCCAGGTGAACTGCTTCGATTTGAAGATCAGGAACTGGCAGGCCAAGCTGAGGGCGACGTTGATCACCAGGTCGTCCGAGTCGCGGTTGGACACGGTCGGTAAGTCGGCCTGATGGTCGGTGAGCACCCTGACCTTTTGTGTCTTGGAATGGGTCTTGCTGTGGTGCGGCCGCAGTTGCTTGGCCCTTCTCGAGTCCGCGAGAATCAGCTTTTGATCCCGGTCGGCCTCGAAGTCGCCCTCGCCATCCGAGTAGCATTTTCTTGGTCTTGCCCAACGATCGATGCCGAGGAGGCCCGGGCCGGTGTGGAAGATCATAGAAGATCTCTTGCTCTTCAGCGACGCCGGTCCCTTGCCAACAGAGCCTTCGGAGCGCCCTCGTGAAGACCAGCTCGGCTTTCCGCTGACACGGTGTCTCGGTTGATTTGGACTTCGTCTTGCGGACTCGATGGCGAAACGAGCCCGAACCACGTCTCGTTGCCTTCGTGTCCGGCCCGCCCTTCTCGTCGGACTTGGTTTCAGATTCCGAGAGTCCGTCCACCTTCTTCCAGTTGTCGCTCGAGTAGCCCTGGCGCGTGGCCTCGGTAAACTCCTCTTCCTTGTCGGATCCCGCCCGGTACGGCGACAGGCGCCCGGGAGAGGCGTTGCGACGAAGGTTCATGAACGGCCTGTCTCAATGTGGTCTCCAGGATTTGAGTCCAACCTCCCCGCTCGTGTCAACCTTTCTCGCAAGGCCCAGCTTGTAAGGTGGACAGGTGCGGTTTCGCTATGGGAATAGCATAGTGACATAGTGACCTAGGCCGCACCTCTTCATGTGTAGCTTTCGGGAGGAAACCGTATGGTTGCCGTGCCAGGCTGTGAACACGCCGGCTTGGAGAGCAGTGCGAGACACTCGCCTGGGACAATGCTGAGCTTAAGGATCACTCTCACCCCCAGCGCCGTGGTCTCCCAGTTAAGCTGCCATCTCAGTTGGAGTCGAAGCGTGCCATCCATCCGGGGCGCGCTCACTGCACCACGCACTGATAGCGTCCGGGATCGGGTCGCCTCACTGTCTCGCTGCCCGGCGTCATCGTTCTCAACTCTCTCCCACTCACGGCCCGCATCGTCGTGGCAACAATCATGGCTCAAGGACGCACTTGGCCACTACTCCTCGCAAGACCCACAACCAAACACTCCAAACTTTGGCCCCGTTGTCGGAGCTCCGCTGCTGTCAAAATGCTTGCTTCCACAGCAGTGGCCGGCCCCGTTCTCACGACATTCCGTTGGCAATAATTAATGGTCGACCGGCAGCATCATCAACCTGATCAAGAACACCTGCTCTTGCTCGTCAATGCCAGGAACAACGCTTGGGAAGGGGGGCAACCTGAATCCAATCGGTTGATCTGCAGGGAGAGTTTCCCAGTTTTAGCAAGACTGTTCTTCTCATGACTTCAGCAACACACAGATATAGGCAGAGCCGTAGTTTTGTGGCATGAAACCACACCTCTTGGTATCGTTCATCCCCAGGTAGTGTTCTACGACCGAGTATCGTTCATCTTGACCAAAATCTTGAGAGTGGTTGGGGCTTTGAAGTTGGAGCGTTTACATTTGGAATAGCAGGTTTGGACGTGCTGTGATGCCACTGATGCGTGTTTTTCACGTGCTTGTGAAATCGAGCGTTTACATAGGGATTGGCTTGTTTTGATGTGCTGCTGGTATGATGGCACTGATGTGATTGATGCGTGCCTCGCCGGCTTGCTTGTGAAATCGAGCATTTACATTGGGAATGGCTGGGAATACCGTGTGTGTTTGGGACAATTTTGCTTCTATGATGTTGCCATAATAAATCGAGTGTCCACATGGTGGTATGCGGTTTCCACGATGTGGATCTCGGGTGCATATTCCCAGCGTTGTCGCATCATTTCCATCGAACCGCACAGTCGGCGATGCCATGTCAAATCGCGCGTCTCACTGGAGATTGGCCAGTTGTGCTGTGACTTTTTTGACGTTAAATGAAACGTTTACATGGAGAATTGGCCGGCTGTTTGTCTTGCGTGGGTGCTTGTGGAATCGAGTGTGATCCCGCAAAATGGCTGGTTGTCGTGCGCTGTGATGCCAATGATCGGATGCCTCGCAAATCGAGCGTGTAGTTGGGGAATAACTATTCTGGAAGTGCTGTGATTCTTGTGTTGTTTGTGTTGAGCAGGTTCACATGAAAACGAGCGCTACATGGGGAACGGCTGTTTTTCCTCACGTTTTCGCGCTATGGTGCGAATGATGCGAATGATGTGTGCGTGTTGACCGGGCGCTCGTTACATGTCTGAAAGCGCGTGCGCATGATGATTGGTTTCCTAACAAAGCCTGCGTGCGGCCTTCGAAATCCTATATAAGTTGAAGTCTGTGCCAGGAATGTGCTAGGAATGTGCTAGGACATGGGAAAGCGTGTCCACGTGAACCTGAAACAGACGCCACCTTGTAGCGCTTCACCGTGTGTGCCGCGACAGGCTGTGATATCTTCCGCTTGCTGGACGTCCCGGCCGCTTGACCGCCTTGAGTAGACCGATTACGCGCTTAAACGGAAGAACTCGAATAGCATCTGACCATATCTGACCCTTGAGCAGACCGATGGCGTGCTTGAACGGAAGAATTAGAATAGCATCAGCTGAGATCCAGTGCATTGTCTTCTTCGAGCGCTGTGCTGCGCTCAAGCTCTACAGAGCAGAAAGAACCACAGGCTGCAAGCTGAAACTTTTGTGGCCTTTCCCCTGACTCAGGTATCCCGTGTAGCAACAGGGTCGGAGCAAAATTATGCAGGGCAGCACCTGCATTCTGGTTTCAACATGAATGATGCGTGTGCAAGGCAGCACGCAAGTGTAGATCCTTTGTTTCACCAAACATCTACAGAGTCGTCTGCGCCTACTTCCGGCACAGCGCCACTTGTTTGCAATTGGACAGAAGGCTTTGGAGTGCACATGTCAGGACCCTTGACTCTGCTTCATTGCAGGGGTTGCTTCTGGACAGCATGGCAACTGCTTTGTCGATGGCTGCAGGCCTCTGCGGCAGTGTTCCTGTGTGAGCACTTGGGGTCACAAGCACAACTTGATTGAGGATGCAAGTCGGCGAAATGCTGTCGCCGGCGCAGAAGGTGGGACACGTTGTAACTTTATGTGCCGGCGATTGTGGGAGCTTCTGAGGCAAGGCCGTGCTTGTTGAGACCGATGAGGCTCGAGGAAGTCTGAGCTGCTCAGGAAGCGCAATAATCTGCATGACTCCATGACCCGCTGTAGGTACCTTCCGCGGCTCTTGTCTGCTTGGAGGCCCTAGGTTTGTGCGGCTTGGATGGCTTTGACATGGCTTTGCCATTTTGCGTCCTGGCGCTCATGCAGGTCGATGCTGGAACAATTGGCACCCTACTGTGCACCGGCTCAGTTCCCGCCCTGGTCTGTGGGTTGTGTAGGCCAGGGCGTAGTCCTTTGGACCGCGGTATCAACGTGCAGCTTCCGAGGTGTGGCTGAAGGTGTTAAGTTTCTGCAGTGTCCATGAGGCAGTGCAAAGCTGTGTCGAGCTCTACAGCTTTTTCCTTATCTTTTAGCTTGTTGTTCAGGCCGCATCCTCGGTGCCCTGCTGTACCGAGACGTTGGCAGGCCGTGCATGCAAATTTGCAGGGCCTAGCGGCCTAGCCATCTTTCTGCTCCTGCATGGATCATCGCTTATGACAGGCGCACGCGACGGATATGGCCGCTTACTCGCTGGCTCCGTCACGCTCTCACGCGGATGTGCTGCAATGGAGCAGCTTGCCAGGCTGTCGGGGAGACGCGAAACGATTTGCAAAAGTGTTGGCAAATTTGCAGGATTTCACCCCACTTACTCGTCAAGCTGAGTTTGCCCAGTGTGCTCCTCAGCCTTGTTTTCGCGAGTCCGGCAAACTCTGGGCAGACAAGATATCAATGATGCTTGGCGAAAGGTTTTCAGTATGTCATAAACTCACACGGGGGGGGGTGCGAAAGTCCCGCACTCGCGTGCCAAGAATATTGAAGGAGATTCATGTTCATTTACCGGAGAGTTTCTCTCGCTTACTATGTACACTAGTAGCAATAGAAAACAGCACACCAACGCGGACACGTTGTTGTCTTTGGTCAATCGTTTGGCACCTCCGGGCACTTGTCGCTGTCGTAGTTTGTCTAGAAGTGTATCCTCCTTTCCGGCGGAAAGTCGCCAGAAAGTCAGAGCCAGCTGGCTTGCCAAAAATATCCTTCGACGACGAACACTAGCAAATTCTTCCGACGATGTATCTACAGTGTTCTCTCGCAGGCCTGGCGTCCGGTGCGGAAAGCGAAGCAGTCTTGAAGATGCTTGCGCAGATGAGGGGCGAGCTGAGGGCGCTCAAGGCCAGACGTGGCAACGACTGCCCGTCTTGGTTTTCCACCCAGCCAGGAGGTTTCTGTCCACATCGCCCCACCGCGACTGCCGAGAGCATGCATCTCAGAAGATCACTTCGTTTGCGGTCATGTGGCTTTGGTGGCTTGGGAAGTTCAGGTCACCGGTGAGAGTCGTGAAGATCGTACCCAGGCAGTGTCAGGCACGAACAAGTCCAAGCCAGTCCAAACGGAAAACAAGTACACATGTATACTGATTAATATATTCATGTACTCACAAGGGCACATATACATGCGTGTATGTATATATATATACATACATACATACATACATACATACATACATACATACATACATAATATATATATATATATGCTACCCCCCCCTCACGTACCTACCTTTTTCTGTTCTTTGAATGCATTTTTCCGTGTCAACCCCTTGCGAGGGCTTTAAAACACGTCAATACAGGACATGAAGGAATGTAGAAGTGTGGAGCTAGCTAGGAGTGCATTTGTGGTGTTCCTTGGGGGAGTCGGTTGGACATTGCAAACATCCCAAGTATCGGTCACGCACCAGCCCTGTTCATGTTTGATCGTATTAGTTGCTACTGCT